GGCCAAACTATTCTGAGAGTAGCAGAGTGCTTCAAGACACGCACTTTTGCAGGTGCTGCCTGGCTCGTTTGTGTCCAATCGCAGGCTGAGTTGACATGTCTCCCGTTGCCGTGACAGGAAATTTGCTGACCGTGTGGACGCACTCGTGCGTCAAGCTAATCAGTATCGGCACGAGATGCCACCTGCCATCGGTCTGCCTCCGAACATCTGTTGTCCATTCATGGCACCCAAACCTCACACGGTCCCCGACCCTGCTGCGCCATGTTGAACCTGAGCTTCTGACACTGGAAGCCAGGCCGACAATGTGGTGCGGCTGGCCCGAGGCAGCTAGTTGTAGCATGCACACCACACCTCTACTACTGCATGTATGTGCTGTGTGCAGCATAGGTGTGGATGTATGGGTCTGCTGCTGGGCACATGTCTTGCTGCATGCGTCTACGTGCACTGTCATTTGCCCGATTCATGCTGGCTTCACTAAGGCAGTGCGGCAGTGCGCTGAACTGCGGTCTGAGGTCCCTCTATGCGACTACGCGCTCATCGCACCAGCAAAGCAGCTGTCAAACCCGAAAGTTTGCAAATTTCCTTGCCGCGCGCTAGCAAATGGGTTGGACCCTCACCGACAGAAGCAGAGAAGCAGCAGGAATGAGGCCCAGTGCATGCTATCAAGCAGGTCCTGCACGCTGTCGGTCTTGTCGCGCATCGATCGAGCTGCAAAGGTGCAAGCGGTGGCATGTAAAGAGCCACTGCTGGAAGTCAAAGCCACATGCAAACAAAGGCTGGCCTAGGCTGCCGATGGCTTTGAAGAGGGTCTCAGTTGCAGCATGACGGCATGAAGTAGGGCCGGGTCCGCGCTAGCCCTCGGAAGCTGCAGTTCACACTTGCCCAGGATGACGCGGAACCATTCGGCTGGGTCATGGCTTGAGGCATCTTGAGGCTCTGGCCCTGCGATTGTCTTGAGTTTGTTGCAGGGCCTCGGCGACTACACTTGCCATGCATGTGCGGCTTGCCTCAAGCAGTCGAGCTCCCCACGCCAATGATCTGAGAGTTTTGCTTCTGAATCAAGGTCAGGGTGTCCTGGTCTTGCGAGAACTTGGGGCCCAGCTTGCGACTGCGACCGAAACCAATCATGTTGCAGCAAGCGGTCAGTGCGTCCTCCTGAGACTCCTCCGATTTGCCCTCCAACATCTTGGACCTCTCGCCAAGGGTCCAAGGTCCAAGGTGTCTCAACCCAGTCGAGATTCAGTCTTCCTGAGAATGCAGCCGTCCGATGGGGAGCCAGGTGACCTTACAGTAGCTTCTGTTCGGGAATGAGTTTCCGATTCAGTGTCTGGTGCTCTGGTCCAACCTCTCGGTGAACTTCGCCAGAGGCTGAGAAAAGTGACAAAGCACAGCAAGCGGCAAACCAAACTAGAAAGCCGAAGGGCATCGGAGTTGTCGATGAATTGCCGGATCTGACTCTCTGGCCTCGGACAGATGCTCAGGCAAGGTGCCAAACTCTTTCGCGCCTCATCTGGCTGAAGTGCAAGTCTCACGTTACCGCTGCAAGAAGACATGCGTTGGAGCCAACTCGCAGCGATCCCGACTGGCAGTGGGCTTCCAAGAAGCCGGCCCGGTAAAGTTCTGGCAGGGTAACACGGCATGATTTGTCATGTGGCGACTGCAAGGCCAACCCATGCAGCCCCCGGTCCAGCGCATGCTTCTCACGAAGGTGGAAGACGAAGGCCATATAGTCCTGAAGACTTGCGCAAGATATGGAATGGATTCTCAAGTCTCCTTTCACAGCAGCCCCTCGCTGCTACGGGCTTCGGTCCCACTTGTTCTGCTTGTAGGTCTCGTGGTACTCGAAACCATCTACAATGCCAGCAGATTGGGCCACTGACCTGGACACTGTTTGTATGTGTGTCTTCGCGTTGAGCTTTAGCCTTGCGCTACGGTCGCTTAAGCTTGGATCGGCGCTCGATGACTTTGCGGTCTATCGACGAAATGAATGATTGCCTTGGATACGGAAGTGATACGATGATGGCATAAGTTGCGCTGGGATGCAGCAGCGTGGCGTCTCTAGGTTGTTCTCGCGGGCCGTTGCTTCTCGCCTGGTAAATGTCGTGCACAGCCGGAGCAACGGAATCTGGAAGGAAAATCATTCACAGAAACTCGGTATCTTCAGGAGGTGTTGCTGGTTTTCTGCACTGTGACGGCAGCCTCTGAGTCTGGAAAGAGTCCACAATCAGGGCCACGATGGTGTTCAGCAGCATGACACCAAAAATGACAAAGTAGCCTGGCACTCAAGGTCGCGATGACATGCGCGGTGTTGTGAATAAGGCGTGCTAGAACACAAAAGATTGGTGGGCTTCCGGCTGATGTCATACACCATACGCTGGAACCAGGTGTCATCCTCTGGGCGGAATGCACGGGTGCAACAAATCCAACAACGACTTGCGGGGGCTATCAGTAGTCCTCGGGGCCTACTTGGTGCATCATGCCGCTCAACCTCGTTCGCACTTACACACTTGACCGGTCTGCAACTTCCAAGTCTCTCTGCATGGGCCGCGCCCCACAATTCCAGAGCGCGTGCCCATGTACAGGATGCTTTGTGTGCAGACCTAGGTCGGCTTACTGGCAGCCCCGTCCTGTGTGGCACCAATCTTTTCGAGATGTGAAGAGCTTCCAGGTGCCATGCCATGATATTCTCATCACAGTACATGCCGAACTCGTCGCGGAAATTATGAAGCCCTTCCGACACACACACACACACACACACACACTCCCGCTCTTATAGTACACTAGCTGTTACCGCTTTCCCTTCATGCAGCGCAGACTTCACAAATTACCATCGACTATAGGGCCTATGGCACCGTAGACGAAGGTGATGATGCCAGCACCGAGGAATGTCATGAACAAAGGCCTGCGTTGAGTTGGGCTTGACTCTCGGAAGAGGCGGCTTACCAACTTCGGTCTTCCGTAAGGCTACTGCCATGCAGGGGCCACTACACCACTCAGCACGGTCCTTAGCGTCTCGGAGTAGCTTCTGTTTCTTGGATGACTGGCATCTGGTGTTTCCTGAAGCTCGTGCTGAAGTGATGGGCTTTGAGCGAAGAAGTCCGCCAGCAGGAAACTGACAAAATGGAGACCACAAGTTGCTTCTTTCACTCGCATGATGGTGTTGTAACAAGTTTGCAGCCACCTGTAGACCCACCAGTGCCGTCCTCAGCAGCATGCGTGTTTTCCTGGCTCTGTCGGTGCTCTATGCACGCAGAAACCAAGGTTTCACAAGCGCCGGGCGAAACAGCGCTAGCGACGTCAGGACCAGTGTAATGGCACGCCACCTCATTCCCAGCATGGGTCTGCAACGACCTGAATAATCCAAAGACGCAGCAGCTGAGGTCAGTGCTGGAGCAGCCGTTGACTCATGTAGCGCCCCTGAACAATGCCAGACGCTGGGGACGGCAACTGCCGCGGCTGCGTTGCGTGCGATGTGGCAGCCCTGAGACTCTAAGTAGCGCACCCACGCAGCGCAAATGTTGACGAGAGAATTCCTCGACATGATCGAACATGAGCTCGTGCTGCACAAGCATCTTGCCCCTGTGCCTCTTCGGATACTGGGTCTGCACTTTTTTGATGCTCAATGGCACCTGTGTGGAGGACACAGGGCATGTGCATGCTGATTGGTGCGTGGCCCAGCTCCAATTTGAATCTAGCCCGTTTCTAAGTACGCAAGCCGGCTTTGGTTTCCATAAGCGGAGATCCGAAAAGAAATTCGCTTTTCGATACTTTTTGGGCTTTTTGGCATTTCGGGTTTCCTGTACTTTTCGACTTTTCGGGTTTTCCTATACTTTTCGGTCTTTTCGACTGTTCGGGTTTCCTGTGCTTTTCGACACTTTTCGAGCTTTTCGACTTGCCGGTTTTTCCGATTCTTTCACCGCTTTTCGACTTTTGGGGTTTTCCTGTCCTTTTTCGATACTTTTCGGCATTTCGACTTTTCATGTTTTTCCTGTACTTGTTTTGAGCTTACTCACCAGACCATCATGACCTTCAATTCTGCCCTGGTTAAGGCATGACAAACAAAATTTCCGCAGTGACCCTCCGGCCGTTGTTGCGGCTGAAAGGCCATCTGCTAAGTCGCTAAGCCCGGCGCACCACTAGGCAGAACAGCCGTGTCAGACGCAAGTGACATGCAGGTAGGGTGCCTTGAACATGGCCTAACAGGGCTTCGTTTCAGCCGCAAGTGATATAATATGCGTGTCGTGTGGCCTGAACCTGGTCCAACATGGCGAAACACTTGGCCCAGAACCCAAAATCCTTGACACTATCCTGAATCTGCGCCTTCTCCCTCTGCAGGCGAAAGTCATGCCAAGATGCTTTCAGATCTTCACAAATGGCTGGGGTTTCGTATTCTGCAGTGTTTTGTTTTCGACTTTTTGACTTTTCGACTTTTTCACATGCTGTTGTTATTTTTGACTTTTCGCGGCTTTTTGACTTTTCGACTTTTCTGGCTTTTCGCCCAACATCTGCATCCAACACCACTTTATAACTTTTCGCGTGCCGTTTGGCATTCTCCACTTTTCCGTGCCCAGGCGTTCGCAAACACAGCGGTACTGGCCCAAGCATGCATTCCAAACCCGCCTGGATGCAAGTAAACAGGCAAAGCCAGAGCATTGTACATGCCTCGGTGCACAGTTAAGCTTCAACGTTGCATGCCAGCCGACTATGTCAACACGCCAGAAAGGTCAGCGCAAGGTGCAAAGCACCAAGGATCTCTGAAATCCTGCACATGCTGCAATGCTGCACGAACTGTCCGATGCACTGCAAACAAGTTTGGAATCTACCAAGCTTCAGCTAGCAACTGTTCATGTCCGCGGTTTAAGACACATTAACCACTCCCAACGTCAAGCCTTTGCGCCATGGATGACCTGTGCAGGTCAATATTTCTATATTTCAATGTGACATCTGGACGGGCCAGTAATTACATGCCATCGTGCTGCGAACCACAAAACCTGAGTCTGCTACGCCCACATCAGGTCACCAGCAGCATCCTGCGGGTCACGATGGTACTACAGCATGAAACTGAAATCGGAAGATATCGGAATGCATCATCTGTCCTTTGGAGCGACCAGGAAAAGACCAGCATGTAGAGCCAAGCACAAACTCAGGTACAAAGATGATCCTTGGCGGAGAGAGCTTTCAAAGGCTCTGAGCTCGGCTTATGACCTCGCACAACATCCGTGCAAAATGCCGTGGCCCATGACTGGACCAGACGACGAGGGTGAGACATGGGCAAATCATGAATAGCACATGCAGCGCTCCTGAAGCATGGAGAAAACGAGAAAACAGCAACACGCAGTAGCTGCAGTAGTAAAGGGGTCTCATGGGCCCTGAAGCTTAGTTGAAGGGGAGCCAGCGCTGACCCGCTGCATGGAAGTCGAAGGCCATCTCTGGTCACAGGCGTTGGGGCCCACTTAACGGGCAGCTGATTCAGGAATCTAGTCCGGCAGATTCCAAGCAATGCATGGTGTGACTCAGTCCTTACCCAGGGACTGGTAGGCTGAGTATGCTTTGCTATTGCGTCTGGTGTGCAGCAATGCCGTTAAGTTGTCGCGACCCACAGCGTCGTCGAACCGTCCCAGGCTCTTTGGCACACAATGTGCTTTAGCATAACTTTTCAGGAACCTGGTTGACCTAGTTCCTCAAGGAGACGCGCCGTGAAGTATATATTGCATCGCGGCTATGATACAATCATTTTAGACGAAGGTCCGCTGCTGTGTCACCTTATCATATCTCGACAACCATTCGCAACCCTTGGTCTGCACCTGCGGTGCTTTTGGCTTGCTACTGGTGCGGGTTTTGAAAGATTGCGACTCGCATGAGCTTGTAAATGTGCGCTGTTATTAGGCGCACGGTGGGGACAGTTAGAATCTGCGGGTGCGGAGATGCCAGGGAAGAAAGCTGCATCCAAAGAGATCTCTCAAGCCTCTTTGAGTGAGATGCTGCCGTTGAGTGACTTCACACCGTCATCAAACACCATGCTCTGGATGAGGCTCCAGTCTAGAAACAGTTCCAAACTGGCATGTATGCTTGGAGCACGGCTCATCAGGTTTTGCATGTGCTTCGCATCATTAGCCAGGAAGACCCAAAAAGGTCTATGCCTTGACTTCCACAGCATGCACAGCTACCGGTAGCTTGAATGCATATGGCATGTGTGCAACGAGGCCCATGCACACCGTCTGGAAGGTAGAGCTGTGCCTCAGGATCTAGACTCTAGACGTTTGGCCAGGGCAAATGCATGGATTTCTTAGATGCGTCTATGGTCTATGGCAGCACATGCCGGGAAATACGCCCACATTACACCACGTAAGCCAGTGGCCCATCTGCGGTACCTCTGTGGACAAAGCCTGCCATTGAACGTGGGATCTGATTCTCACGTAGTTGAGGCTACAAGCAGCCATATGCCTTCGCCACGAGACGTGACACAAGCAGTCCAACAAATACCAAACTTGTCAGGGGCACGAGAACCTTGACAAGGCCAAGATTAGGCGAGACCTGTAGCAGCACTTAGCACCAGGCAACAGTCCATGGGTTGTGGAGACAAACAGCCGGAGGTGATGCACTGCTGTAGGCAGCAGCACTCGTCGATGAGATGCTGCGCCGCTCTCACGAAGAGGACTACTTGAAGCCACTTGAGGCCAAGATGCTCATTGTTCAGCTCCACGCCTAAGTTCAAGCCCCGATGGACATCGACCCTCTGTAGGCGTTTCCTGTAACGGTTCCAGATTGGAAGAGCTAGAAGTCTAGAGTCTAGTCTTAGTCTGATATGTATATTATTGTACTACATGCAAGCAATACCTGTCGTGATGTGTTGCTGTAGGAGGGGGGACGGACCCACGCACGACGATGACAAGCGCCGAGTCGCACATTTGAATGAAGCTTTTCATCTTGACATCTGGCCTTGATTTGGCAGAAACAGCTTTCTGTTGCTGGTTGATTCACTATGGAGATGCGTCTTTTTCTCGTTTGGATTCATGGGGTGCCGGCAAGCTGAACGGAACCTCGTCCAGGATGCGCTGTTTCGAGGCGCCTTGCCTTGGTTGAAACGGTGAAGCGTAAGCCGTAAGCATCACCGACGAACGGAAGTTCCCTAGGAAGCCAGCACGTACCACACCGCCGTGACTGGAACTCGGAAGTTCAGGGACCTGTTTACAGATGCTTGTCTCAAGCTCAACTGGTGACTTGACTCTACATCCACGCCCATCCGCAAGAAGTTTCCAGATCTCAGCACCGGACTGAAGGTGTCCATTCAGCACCACCTCCAAGGTCTTCACGTAGCGCCCCAGAAAGTCGAAGGCCTCCCAAGCTCAAGCAAATCACTTCTTGTCCTCCTGGCCCTTGTCAGCGACGGAACCGCAAGGGGACCGCAGGCCTGTCGATAGATTTGCCGCTTCTGCCAAGCTGCACGCTCGCGCAAATAACTTAGGCCGGGAAGTGCAGTAGAGCGTGCTCTCCGTGGCTGTTTTTCACCATGGGACTTTCAGTACTACTGGTAGATCACTAGATGTTGTAGTCTCGGTTGGCATGCTCCCGCCGGCTGTGGGTCCGTGGCATCGTAAGTCGCCAGCTCTCGGCGAGTTCGATACTCGGCCTCAGAATCCACGAAGGGATCCTGCTCCTCGGGCAACGGCATGACCTGACTCAGGTGACCCCTCCATGCCATGCACACAGACTGGTGTGGAGCGGCAGCACGCGTGGACCCATCGCAGCAGAGCAGCGATCTCTTTGCTTTCCTATTCGCGCTGAGCTTTCCTTGCTTTCCTATTCGCGCTGAGCTTTACAGAAACAAGTTAGTGTCGGTTTTATTACCTAGGCGAGTGAAAAGATCCCATCGGGATGTTGGACACGTTGGATCAATTGCCGCGATAAGTGAAACCATCGAAATGGACTCCCTGAGCTCCGGGACCAGCTTCTGAGATCGCCACAGGCATGTCAACAAACTCCTTCTCAAAGTTCGACACATCACCCGCCCCCGAGACTTTGGGCTTGAAAGGTGGCGTCACCTGGCACTGGTACAGTGCATTCCAGTCCACCGAAGCGAAGAAGCCGTGCGCACGGACTTCCGCGCCATCATGGGGGCCTCCGCCCAGCCGCGACTCAGGCTGACGTGTGAGGAGACCCTCAAGCAGGGACTTGGCGACCGGCGAGATGTAGGAGGGGTAGGACAGGTTGGCACGGCGGATGCGTTCGAAAAGGAGGTTGCGGTCCTGGGTGTAGAACGGGGGGAGACCCGTCTGCATCTCATACGCCAGAGCACCCAAGGAGTACCAGTCGACTGCCCTGCCGTGGCCGCGCTTGTCCAACAACTCTGGAGCCAAGTACTCCGGGGTGCCACACATCGTCCGAGCAGAGAAGTTGTCGGTGATGCCCTCTTTGCTTAATCCAAAGTCCGTGAGCTTGGCATGGCCCTCGGCATCCAAGAGCACATTCTCTGGCTTCAAGTCCCGGAAGATGATGTTCAGGCTGTGTAAGTATTCGAGCGCCAACAGAATCTCGCTGATGTAAAACCTGACATTCCGCAGCAACAGCATTCGCAGCATGAACAAATACGGACATACGTGCATGTATATGCAGATGGAGACGTGCTTTCACAGACATACATGCACACATCCAACGTCCATGCATGCATACATAGATATACATACCAGTTCATACATACAGACAGCCGTCAGCAGGCAGGCAAGCAGGTCTATCTATCGATCTATATTATATATATATATATATATATTTTTCTATATACATATATACACATACATAATCATACATACAGATATACATATATATATATATACATATGCATTTGTATGTTGTGTACATATACATAATGTAGATTTCGGGTCTTGTGACCCCAACGTTGCACCACTGGAATCCCTTTTCCTAAACCGTAGCGCCTTGTTCGTCCTTCTGAAAAACGTCCTGCGCGGCTGAGGTGGAAGAAGAGCTCTCCACCGGGACAGTAATCGAGAACCAAGTAAAGCCTGTCATTGAGCCATTGTGATTCCAGAGATGCTATGTACGGAATTGACATAAAATGACCTGGTCTCTCACAGGAATATGGATCCGACTGTCCAGTGGTGATAAAATCACACTTTCCTAATCAGGCTCTTGCACTATTCCAGGCTGCTGACACGTCAGATATGCTGCATCTCTTTCGGACATCGGAAAGATCATGCATCAACGCAAGCACCCGGTTTGCTTCAAAGAAGCTTCTTGGGCGTCTGGAACGCGTAGTGAAGAGATACGATGAAGGGATGATTAACATGCTCGAGAACGTTCCTCTCCGTCTTGGTGTGCTCGACCTGATTGCCTTAGAAGCTTCAGGCACTCCCAAGGGCAGGATTTGACACAGCAAGATGTAGAAAGCTTTGCGTGCGAGAGCATGATTCAAATCGAGACACGATTCATGACATGCTCTTTGCGAAGCATTTTCATTGCAAAGACTTCCATGCTGGGCGAGTTCTTGCGCCGAACCAAATACACCTTGCCATAGCTCCCTTTGCCGAGCACCCTCAGGCTCTCAAAATCATCGAGACTGGGCGCGGCCATGCTGAGCCCTTAGTCAAATCAAGAAAGGCGAGTCCCGCTGAAGTGTCGATGCCTGTTCGCAATCCAAACTCTGAGATGCTCACTTCTCGCCGGCGAACGGCAAAAAGCTATCTGCTAAAGGACCCCACTCAACAAGTGAGGCCACTGAGAGTACTGGCTACGGCCTGAGATACCAAACTTCAATCATAGCTTTTGGACTGCCAACATGTGCATCTGACACAGCAACATAGCCCACAATCCATATGACAGATGAAATGAAACTGACGCACATGCACACGCCGAACGGGCCTCTTTCTTGAACTTATTGCTGTGGGCCGAGAGCTCGTAAACGAGCTCGATGCTGAGCATTTTTCAAATGAACGTCATCTGCCGGAAGTGGGGACAGGGGGGGGGGTGCTGCAAGTTTACTTCGAGCTACAAGGCGTTTAGTTTTGGTCAGTAGCGACTCTAAGACTCTAAGTGCCGCGCAGGCAGAAACCCTCGGCAAACAGGACGCCAAGCTGTTCGTCGTCCAGGTCCTGGCATGGGCAAGCCCCGCACTAGACTCTCAACAAAGCCTCAAGCCTGATAAGCACCTTCCGCCTAAGAAAGCTTCAGATTTACACATGGAAAGGCCAACTGTCCTCCAGGAATTCTGTTGCCAAGGCCTGGAATGCAGGGATTGGATACCATCATCACCATGTCTGCAGTGTCGGCGCATCAATTCGCATTCCTGATCTTGAGGCTGGTCCCTGTCTCTGCACATCGGGGTCCCGGCAGTGTTGCGGCTGACGGCAGTGAAAAGCTGGCAAGGAGTCGCGAAAAGAAGCTGGCAAGTGAATCTGTTCAATGGGTCCTCTGCATCCAACACTTTGTCTTGAGAGTCGCGGTCTTCCCCAGAAATCGCCAGAAGCTCTACATGCTACTTCCCTGCTTCCTTGCCCAGGCCTCTGAAGGATCTGCCTGCGTAGCTGCGCTACAGCAACTAGTCGGAGCTCGTGAAGAGCAAAAAACCGGCAAGCTCAGTACAGTTCACGAAGTTCACGATGCACTGGACGGAGATGCAAGTAAGAGTGAACTCGTATTTGCTTCATGACTGCTCGGTATAACATTATCAACCGGATGTTCGTTAAAGCCGTGTCGTTGGAATCTCGCGTGCCTACCGGTCTCTTTCTTGATTCAATCTCCAGTCGCCTCTAAGCCCCAGAGAGCGTGGGCCTGTGGCAAAATCAAGGCATGCAGATTGCCGTCCAATGGGATGGCAGCCAAGTTCTGCCGGGTCACCTCCGGGACAGCAGCGGGTCAGGGTCCCGAAGCCCAAAAACCGTCAATGACCCGGTTCTGCAATATCGCAAGCAATATGTCGGGTCGGAGTTGCATCTGAATGGGGAGGGGGGGGGAGCAAGCAGCACCTTCCTTTTGTTCTCCTGGCTTTTTGACTGCGCCGTGTCCCGGTTTTTCCACCGGTTCGTGGCAAGGGAGCATGGATTGCTCCGGAACGTCGTCCTTCGCAGTTGCATTCAATTGGCACTGGGATGTTTGTGACATTTGGGCTCTGGCTTTTGCCCGATTCTGGGAGCAAACTGGTTGGGGCTCACCGTGCACGTGCGACAGGTCGCACCAGACATGTTGTGCGCCAACGTTTTCTTTGCTGCATGCTCGCTTGGCTTGAGGCATGTCCAGCTGCGACCTGTTCTCCCCTTTGTGTGCAGAGCCCACTCTGCTCGACCAGCTATGGCAAGAAGCCTCCGAGCGGTGAAACTTTCTCTTCCATATCAGCACATAGAAAGCTGGTTGGCCTGCCCAACAGCTTTGAAAGGTTTTCGCTGCTGTCGCGTGGAGCGGCAGTACGATTTGCCGATTTATCCAACCCAGAGTAATGTCGATGTTTTCGTTCAGAAGTTCATGGGTTTCTCCGATGGTCTCTGGTCGTCTAAAGCAACAGTCTCTCGGTTGGCCATTGCAGGCACCGTTTGTAAACATTTTAGTTTGCGCCCGATGAAGGGGAAACGATCTCTGGATGCAAAACCGAGATCTGCCCAGCCGCACATCCAGCACCGGATGTGGACTGCAAAATCGCTTCAAAATTGGAGCATTAAGGCTGTGTGGTACAGCCACGAGCCGCGAAGAACCAACCTATGCGGGAGTGTAGAGTTTTTTGTGCCTGCATTCATACGTAAGATGTCTATGACAAGGGCTTCCTCACACGAGAGTCTATGCTTCTTGGATCTCGTCGGCGGTTCATGTGACCGTCTATGCCACGCGCGGCTGTGATGTCTCGGCTCATGCCGACGGTGTTATGGCATCCACCGTAAAGTGGATCAGGCCTCGGCGAGGCAGTTCAATTTCTGGACATGGTACAGCAAGCTGCAACAGGCTTTCACGATGGCACGCTACGCATCTGTGGCACGCTGAGGGTGGTGGCTCCAAAGAGGCCATCGGGTGGCGAGCATCAAGTCCTGCGAACAGATTTGCAAGAACTTGCTTCCTGGAGTTCCTGACGGATTTTATACTTCAGCCGAACTAGCAGCCAGCTCTTTCATCCCCAGGCAGTCCAAGTCTGCAGGGGTGCGGATTGCCTTCTTGATGGCCTGCAGGTGGCATGATGACTGCATCAATATCTCAGAGTATTCTGAAGTCTCCAACCAGTAGTAGCTGCCTGCCTCCTGCAAGCCGTTCACCAGGTTCAATCGTTCCCTGAGAAGTGGCTTTGAAGCTCTATGACAAGGCTTTTCAGTTTGGGATGTGCTAGACTACGGCAGTCTCTACTTTTTTTGAGGAGGGGCTGCAGTGCACATGCTCTCATGCCCGCGTAACCCCTGCGCAGAAGGCATGAGTTTGGAGCATTCAGACACGAGGGCTGCAGCTACGGTACGGCAGTCTCCACTACAATATCGATCTCCGTCTCTCTGCGTTATTTCTGCTTTGGCGCGGCATGCCCTGTGGGTATGCTGCTTCTGTGCATTGAGAAATCCCTTCACTGCATCTGGCCCGAGCATGCAATGGGTACTTTGGGGCCCGGCTGGACATTGCTTTGCACGGATGCCTGCGACTCGAACATCCGACATCATGAGAAGGATGCCATAAGTTCCATGACCGCAACATACAAAGAGGAAAGCAACTCTTGCCCGACCGGTTCCGGTTTTGCGTTAGCATGCAAAGTACTCATGGATCATATGTCGACAAGTACAACACCGGTGCAGCAATAGCCTGACTGAGCAATGTCAAAAAGCGATTTGACAAGCCCAGTCTCGCACGCGCTCACCTGGGTGGCCAGTGCTGTCAACGCCGCAAGAACGTCGGTCTCACCTGCGAGGAGCAAGTTCACTGAACCATAATTCCTGTGTCCAGGACGAGTGGATGGCTTCGGAAAGCGCTTTGCATACTGGCAAGGGCTCCCAGCATGCCTGGCCTGGCGTGGGATCCTCCAAATACCTGTGTTGGCTCTCAGCTCGTCAGCTGCAACTTCTATACACTCAGTATACTATATACTCCTATATATATATACACTACTATATCATACTATATACTTGTATGCTGAGGGACTTCAGAGTGGCATCGGCCATGGCAGCGAGGTCGTTAGAGGCCATGGCAGCTCGCATAGACTTGAAGTAAGCCGCACCTCACTACAAAACGGCTCTTCCGTCATGGAGACGCCTCTGAACTTCGATTGCAAGGATGCTGAGGCGAAGACTGATCTTGTTCTCCAGACCATCAATGCCTTGGATCGCACTTCTGGCCGAGAGCTAATGGCAGCTAATGCAAGTCGCCAGTGCAGGCTGATAGCTGTCCTGGCTCACCAAGTCCTTCAGGAGCTCTGCCTGTCAATTCCACGGTTAGAGGACTGAGGGCTCCTAGGTCCTAGGTTAGGTGCCCTCCACCTTGCGAAGGCTCAGCTGCGCCATGATGCCTCAGATTTACGCAAGAAAGCCGGGGGGCACTGCACCGGAGCAGATTCTCCAAGCTGCCGAAGATGGGCCACCCTGAGAGAGCCGTGGCAACCCAAGGAATGTCCAAAAGGACCGTGAGCAAAGGCGAGGCGAAGGCCTCCGAAAGCAAGACAAGACAAGAGCTCTGAGCTTTGGGAGGCACGTCCTTGTGGTTTCTGTCCGCGCCTCTCCGGCTGTCTGCACTGTCTGAGCCACGCCCATAGGATCCGAGATGAGGCAGACCTGCCACAGTGAGGATGCGGGCAGTCGCAGTGATCTACGCATCACTAAGCTCCAGCACCCAAACAGCTCAAACATGCCAGCAGAAGCTGAAAGAAGCTGTATGGCAATCTTTCCTCGTTTGGCCGGGTGGACTGTGTGAACGATTCCAACACAAGATGGCCAGGTGTTGCCGCTTCGGGCTTTGCCGATGTGCTGTGACCCCTAAATCATCCGACTGCCGGTATTGCACCATGTATCTGTATTATATATATATATACCATCTATTATATGACATTATGTGATATATGTTATATATAGGAAACGTAGGGCTTCGATCAAGAAGCCTGGGCCACACTCGTTGGCAGAAAGATTGTCGAAGCCACCGACGGCCTCACATCAGAATATCCAAGCCATCTCGCTTGACAGAGTCTGTCTTCAGCTCGCCCGCTGTGGAAGTGATCCAGGCCTTGACTTGGGCGATGCCCTTGTCTACCGTGTCTTTCACTTTCTCGGCGGGAATCCTTGGAGCTTTGCATTTCAGGCGTGTGGGCTTCAAGTGCGGCCAGTGGCAGCCCAAGATTCGGATTGAACCTTGGCTGTGCTCCGACTTCAAGCTTCAGCTCTGACCGAAACCATGAAACAGGCGATACACCGAAATCAGCCTATGCTACACAGGCATTCTGCAGGATTCCGATCCCAGACCAGTAACACAGCACCTGGAGTCTCCTCGAGCAGGGCGCGGAATGATTTCTTCACCTTGCACGGTTGCCACAAACATCGGAAAACCATGCCGACTGCTGACGTCGAGGCCGACGATAACTGTACGGGTACGTTTTATAGGCCGGGCCTAATCGGAGAATGAAACCTCCGTCCGGGCTCTAGAGGTGACTAGCGACGACTATGCAAATGATGCTGTTGATGCAGCACTTATTCAAGCTTTTTTGGGGGCCGAGTCACGGATTGCCACACAGCAGCATGTGGGCCTCTCTGGCATTCCATGTCATCTGGGATTGCCAGTTGCGACCTAATGGCAGGCTGCTGCCCATAGGCCGAAAGACTGTGCTTTAAGCAGCACATGCAACAGGCGGATTGAGGAATCGGCCATGCTGGCCTCAGGGTGGCAAAAAGAAGCCAACCCGCCAATACCTCGGTAGGTCGTGGTACAAGTTCGATGAGCCTGGCCAATTGTTCAGGCATTTGGGAATCACATTCCATGACCATGAAACTTATCCCCCCCCGATGATCCCCCGCGGAGACTCTTTGCGATCAGGTTTCTCGCGCCATGGGCCCTCAAAGGGCTGAGAGCCGCTGCTCACAGGACAAAACGAGCCGAGATGCTGCCAACAAGTCCCCTGCTTTCTACACTTTCTACCACTGCGTGGGGCAAGCCTGCAGTTGAACAGGCAAACGACGGAGCTAGCGCCTGTCGCGGATTTATGGCGACGGCACCGAGTGTGAAGTAGAGGTAAACAAACCTGAGCTGGAGTTTGGGCAATCAAACGAGCTGTAGGGCTCGTGTCCTCTCTGTCAACTGTCGCACCCATGGACCGCACTCGATGCGCTGTCTGATGACCAGAGGGTCCCCACCTGCGGAGAGCACAGCTGAACATGTCCCACTACATGCCGCTGCCTTTCTTGAAGCCTGTGTTCACTTGACACCGCATTGGGCCATCAATCTTCGGCAGTGGTCGGCATCGGCATCTGGGACACTGGCGCTGCAGAATGGTTTGATGAATCCGTGCATCCAGTCGCCCCTGACACACTCGGAGCAGACTAGGACAGCGCAGAGCGTTACTCATCGGTGATCCCGGCTGTGTGCTGATGGTAACGGTGCCTCCATGAGGGAAAGCCTCGCAATTGCATGTCAATCGCACTATCTGCTGTGCAAACATGCTGTGCCGCCAGCCGGGCTCCGGGCAGCATGCGCAGCAGTTCTGCCTTCAGCTGGCGTACGGCCGATGGGTAAACGTCTCCTTCCTCAGTTGACGCTTGCTTCTGAGGCTGTGGGGCTGAGAGCACCGCATGTCACTTGCGGCCAGAACATACTTTACTCCGCTTTCGAAGCAGTCGCAGGGCCGACTGCCCGCAAGCCTCACCTCCTACTGGTACATCCTAAATGTCGGCATGTCAATGTGCAGATCCGGCGCGCTTAGGCGCGATCCTCCACCGCAACATTGGAGCACACGTGCTGTACAGAAGTCTCGCACACTACGCTGCAGATGTTGCTGCAGGCTACAGGTCTGACACACTCACCTTTGCGTGGTGCCTGGAGAGGTGTCCAGAAACGTGCAGAAAGACAGACTGGGCGGCATGGGTTTGGGATGATCTGGGACACCTTCTTGGAAGGTGCCAGGCAGAAGCTGGAACTTCAGAGATCCGCCGAATGAACACAATAGACATACAAGGTTTATGTCAATGTCGAGCTCACATGTTCTCCCGCAATTAAGGCATGGGGATTAGAGCGGCAGACCTTCTGCGAGATTACCCAGCATCAGTTGACGCGGGCGACTTGATTCGGCGATATGGTGCCGATGTGCCGCAAATTGGGCCCATGACTCTGGCGGCCGGTGTCGAAGTGGTTACTCCTGGTGAAGTTGCTGCTTCCTGACAGTCAACTGGCAGTCGCACGCTTTCTCGGCTGCTCCACCTAAAAAATGCCTCTATACTCTTCCTGGGTACTTTGCCCGGCATGGCGAAAATTTCGGCGAAAACCTCTGTAAAGTGCAGCCACCACTGCAGCTCAGCATCGATAGAAGCGATCCATCGTCAAACCGGGAAACCCGTCCTCGGAGCACCAGTGGCTGCCCGTTTTCGGGAGTTGCCCGTATGATCGCTGCCAGGGAGCACGCCAAGTGCCCGTGAATCCGCCGGTTACCAGGAAGTTCCTGCCGAGCGAGCATGACGGCCCTGGTAAGGAGTCTGACTGCTGGCGGCAAAACGCGCAAGACTTTCGATGAATAGAGGACTGTGCAGGCGATGACAGATCTTCAGTCGCGGACACCTAGAGGTCCTACCCCCGACAACGGCCGTGCTTAAGATGAGCACTTAGATTGCTGTGATGGGAAATACAAGCGGCCGAAGTAGTTACAGAAATGCTGTACCCAGCTGGAGCGAGTCTTTGGTGCATATTGGACGCATGCAGAATTTACTGTGCACGGCCATGCCAGCTCATCCAGCTCTCAGAATGCCAGCCCTGGAATGCAATCCATCTTGCATGCCGGGTGACTCGAACTTCAGCCCTGCACAGTAAATCCTACTCCGATCCGTGCCTGGCAGTGCCAGGCCTGTCGTGCTCGAAGGTGGACTGCCCAGCTGCTGGGCGCCGCCAGTCCCATGGAGGAGTGGACCTGCTCGGGGGCCGGCGAGGGCTTGCATAGAACAGGGCTTCGACAACTCCAGCAAGGTTTGTATTGCATTCAGGCACACAAAAAGGCGCAAAGAGGGACAAGGCAAACCTGCTTGCATGTACGTGTATATGTGTACGTGTGCATGTATGCGTGATATTGCGTGATGTTAAACCTGGGGAGGCACAGAGTCCAAAAGATCATCAATTTGAGAAATGCAGCGCCTTGCAGGTATTTCTACAAGTAGATATTGGTGGTGATCGCCGAAAGTTGTGTCTTGGACCTGTTCTGGATGCACATGCTGTTTCTGTTCTCTTCAAATTTGTAATTACACACAGACAGACAGGGAAACACATATTTGCTTGCATGTATGCTGCATACAGCGTGCATATACATGTGCGCAGAGCATTGCACGATGATGTTCGACAGTGGCAGGCGTGGTGAAGGTAAGCGTCCCGCTTGCCTGTGATGAGTCCACGTCACGTCTGGTAGACGGGCCAGCATGGGATTCGCTCTACAGACGAGTGTCTGTGACGAGTTGCTCGATCATGCCCTGAGCTTTGGCACAACTCCGTCACACACCGTCAAGCTGGCCGCAGCACATGAGTGCAAACGAAGTGGCTCTGTGCAGAAAGGTGAGGCAAGCCCTCCTGGAGTCTGCAGGAATTGCTGCTATTGGCAATCCACGGTCTCTTTCAAGAACGATTTGCAACATGCATGAGTAGCTGAGCCCCGTGTTCGAGTCCAAGTCGCTCGCAATGCCCCCTGCGAGTAACTGCTTCGCAGACTTTCGCGTGCGCAGTCTGTCCTGCCCGAAAGGAGGGCAGCTCGAAGGAGAGTGGAGAAGCAGCCATAGCCAGCCGATTACCAACCTTTAGCTTGAACCGGTAAGCCCATATCAGGGTGGTCTTTCAACAGCCTTTCGGTGTTGAAGCTTGGTGAATCCTGATGACCCGGGCTCTGCACGGCAAGTCCGACTTCCGTAAGCATGTTCTCTGCAACATAAAACTTCTTACTCTGACTGCCCATGGATCTTCCATTGCAATCACCCACGACCCCACGCCCACCACGAGGAGCTTGTAACACTGCACTCGCCAGGTGATCGCGGGCGTCCTGTCGATCAGCATGCGAGTCACGAATGTGTTGCTTAGTAGTTCAGTACCACATACCGTTCTTACAAACACCTGGCTGGCCAACCTTCAGGGACCGAACTCTGCTTGCAAACGAGGTTCGTCGCCGCGGCTCAGCACGACCATGTGCTTCCATGGCTCATCTACTCAATTCTACTTCCAATGCCGCGAGGGGCTTTCGACTCTCACACTCGCAGAAGGCAGGCAAAGCTCCACATGCCCCGCGCTTTAAGTCTTACAAGTTCTTGAGATGTTGACGACCACCCAGGCCGTTGGTCAGGTCTGATGGTTGCCTGTGGGCCCGTAAAACTATCGACTATACTTTCACATCTGCTCTGGCAATGAGCCGGTCTTGTGAAAGGTATGCGCAGTATACCCGGTATGCTGATGTCAACGAGCAGTGCTTGTACAGTCAGCAAAAGCTGGTAGAGACCAAAGGCAGAAGGCGCAGAACCCTGGTGAGCCCCGCACAGACTTCTGCAACTGCTGAAAATTCACCATCAGCAACTTGAACCTCCGAAACAGCTCTGAATACTCGTGAGCTCCGACATGCGACACGGATGTATCCAAAGTCCAGAGGAATGGACACCAACTCGATGAGGCCCATGTTGCTCAAGAACTCCTGCCGGAGGCCATCACAGCTCTCGACTCTCTGTGCTTGCTTGATTATGTTCTTGTCCTGGTTGCGCGGATTCGGCCCTCAGTGGATGTCCAAACAGCGTGTGATTGACTCTTCTCATCTGTTTCGGCCAACTCGAGTCCGGCGCCCTGTGCCAACTCTGTCAGGAGCACCACCACAAACTTCACCTTAAGTCCATGCGTAGTGAACTGAGACATTCTGTTCCGCCGAGTAGCCTCGTAGATTCTAGGACTTGCTCTTCAGCTTGAACCCATCTAGCATGCAATGCTGCCCTGCGTGCGTGTGTGCGTGTGTGCGTGCGACCGTAGCCGGCCGGGTTGGCTCATGGAAAAAGATTCTCAATGCTCAGGGCTCAGGGCCCGGCGCACTTCAGCTCACTCAACGAAGAATAGTTGGTCTGAGCGGGAAGCAAAACTCTTCCGCATGCGTCACCACATCTGATCGCCCTGGCAGCCCCTAAATTGAGAGACTGTCACTGTATAAAAGCGCAGCACCGACTGTGCGCCAGGCGCCCTGGGCATCTTTGCACATCCTGGTCAGCCTGAGACTTCGGGTCCGAAGGTCTGGCCGAACCGCGCAGTCGCTGTCAAGGCCCGCGCAGCCAGCAACAAAGGCCGGGGACCTGAAGGTGCTGTCTGCAGATGTGTATACACATGCATATATATATATATATATACGTATACACCGACGTCTACATAATATAGACTTTTGTCTAGCGTGTTCATGTTGCAACAAAAACAGGGGTCTTGCGCTTCTGCGAACCGCAGCAGGTTCAATGCTAGCACTGTGGCCAGAAGGCTTTTGAAGTTGCTGCTGCCTCCTGCAACTAGAAGGTGCATTGAATGGTAGGCTTCCCGGCATTGAACGAGCGCACGTTGCCCTCTTGCGAATACAGGTAGTCCTGCGATGCGCAAAACAATGTCGGCCCGCAAGGTTGCAGCATACTTTCCTGCCTTACCTTGCTCAGGCTCGGCTCGGGCAAACTTGCACATCAAGCTGCTGCTATCAAGCGACGAGAAGACGGTGTCCTGCATTGACTTGAACTGGCCCTCGACCAGCATTCTCACAGCCTCGGGAAGATCCCTAAGCTTCCAAAGTCCATTCATCCTCCAAAAGAAGAGCGGGCCGGGCCTGTATGGCATCAACTGCCTCAACCAAGCCAAGAGAAGATTGCTTGTGGCTTGTGACGGACACGTTCGAAAAACTCGTCAGCCTCTTTTTCAATTGTGTGACCGAGCCTGCTCCAGCAAGTCGTCGTACCTAGACCCAGGAAGCTAGTATGAGGGAAGATGGTCAGACTTTGGCTAGGTCATGCCCAGCTGATGCACAATGTGAGGTCTGCAGTGAGCATGCGAAGCCACAACACACGGCTCTGGCATTGTATTGAGTTGGGAAGGGATGGTCATGTAATTACCTGAGGGCTCGACTCGCGCAAACGTGCCTGCTGCTCATGAGCTACGTGATTCGTTCTGTGCATCTGGAGCACATGTCGGCCGCTGCACAGTGCAAACAACGGACTTTGCCGTGGCCTTCTCTTGGGATGTCAGGACTGGCAGTGTCCGGAAGCCGTGAACAAACCTCTGGCAGTGTCACAGGACTCGTCAACATTCCGTAGCAGCATATGAAGCAAGAAGCGAAGTTCAGTCATGTGTGCAATCATGCATACAATACCTGTTGCATCTTGCTATTGTTGTGCAGCGCTTCTGGCTTACGGGAACGCATGATGTTGGAAGGATGTCTTGCAGCTTGGGAAAGGTAGTGCAGCTAGGCCAGGCACTTCGCTGCCCGTCCGGCTGTTGACAGAATCTGGCATTGAGCTCTTCGGATCAAGATGCCCCTTTTTGCAAATGTCTCCAAGTTTCAGGACCTCGTGGAAGGACTCCCACATGCCCGTGTCATCGTCGCTAGAAGACATGGCGTCGTGCAGGCCGAATTGGACCACCTTCGGGGGCAGCCAATTCCGCTCCATGCGCCAAGACCAGGGCCACGAGCGGCTACGAGGCGGATGGGCCTTGTTGACCTTCGCCTCGCCATCGGGTCCGCGGCTTTGCAAGAGCTCCTCAGCTGATGGCACAAGCTCGTCGGACCGTTGGCTGGCGTAAAGTCAAAGCGATTTGGAGGATGTACAAAGTGCAATAGAGAGCAGGGAGCGCGATGAATGACATCCTGTCTGCGTGAAGAAAGCTCAAATTGAGGAGCTGGCTCCAAGAACGTGCCACGCGAGCCGCTGAACCTTGCAGAGGTTGCCGCGTGCTGCTGCTTGCCAAAGCATGAGCAGAAGGACTCGCCAAGAAATGCTGGAGCCGGCGCATCTTGCACAGCGTGGTTGTTGAGCACCTGAGCACAGAGCAATGTCAGGCTGCAGCGTAAGCATGCGCAAATCTCAAGATTGCAAGGCACTAAGGGGGCTCTGCATGTTGCCCAGATAACCCCCAGCCAAAGTGGGACCCATGGCCCTAGGGGTTTTGGCAAGCATGTGCTAATTGAACCCCACAAAGACTGGGACCCACGGCACTAGGGGCTCTGACAAGCCAGCATGTGCTAATCAAACCACAGAGGGAATGAGACCCACAGCACGCTCCAGGTTCCTGCGGCATAGACTTTTCGAAGGCTGAATGAATGGACCCTGAATTACTTGCAGATGTTGTCAAGCTAAGGCCATCACCTTCACTAGAAGCTTTCCCACGCCAGCCTTTGACAATTCCACCTTGAGCGAGACTTACCCACACTCGAGTTTGCATACTTAGTTGGAAGCTTGCAAACAGCCTTTCGCTGTTTGCTTTCCTCGTTTCTAGTGCATTAGGCAAGTGAAGGTCGGGAAGTATAGACAATCACGACAAGGGACTGGCATATTCAAGACGAAGCGTCGAAGAGTCGTAGGCAGGTGCAACATGACTTCCGCAGCTAGACTCGAATTCAGATTTGGGCAGTCGGGCACTACCGTCCGACACTTCCGTCGGTCTGAAACAGCAGCACCCCACCTGGATGTATGTCAACTGCTGTGTGTCCTCCTTCTTTGCATCCTCTTGCTGTGCCTGTGAGCTTACAGTGGGCACTGACTTGATCCGCAAAGACGCCCATCATCAGCTGAGTTCCCGGCCATGCCGATCATTGCAAGGAAGACCCTGCAACTCGGATGCTACAGAAAAGCACTGGCCGTCATGATTCGCTGTTCTTCCTTCCAGAAACCAGCTAATGCCGGGAAGTAGCTGAATCTCAGATTTAGTTCCCTGTAGTTGCCAAGTTTTCTCATGCCGGGGCCCTTCTATCAATTTGAGATCACCTCAACCCTTGAGAGGTTTCTGCATGTTGCAGCGGGCTCAGGCTGCTGAGCCACACCTCAAACAAGGGCCGCCTCATGGTGCGTCGAAGGCTGGGAAGGTCCGTCAAGTTGGCCTCGCCTCGACTTCCGCGGTCCGTGTTGTGACTGTGATGTTGGGAGATGTGTTGTTGTTGCGGTCTGACTCTCACACCCTGCACAGCCAGGCAAGGGTCTGTTTTCAAAAAGAGAATTTATGGGAGCCAAGAAGAGGCCTCGGGTGGTCAAATCCTGAGTTGTCTGAGAGTCTTGGCAATGCTGCACCAGCCGGTGGATGCAGTCCTGCACCTCAGCATCAAAACAACTGCGTGGAAGAGAAACAGAAGCTGGCAGGGTGCCGTTCAAAAGCGCAATCGTTCACCCACTCAAAGACAGTAAGGTTTCAGACCTGGTGCAGCCCTGTGCGGCTTTGGCAAAGACCAAAAACAGTTGTGCTGAGGCACAGTGATGGCATGTCTGCGGAAGTCCATCTCAGTCCTTATGGCTGATTGCGATCCGCTGCTACACAGCTTGCTTCAAATCGCTCGCGCTGTGTGCCCCGCTCAGATGTGAGATTCTTCAGATACGGAGGATATTCAGGATCCGTCTCCTCGTAGATGGTCAGGAATGCCTGCGATTCCCGAAGCCCGCAGGACGTGGCGACCCGACCCCCAACCTGAGCAGCTAAAGCCCAAACTACATCAATCGTTTTTTGACGCTCACACTCTGACAAGTCCACCGTGTTCCAGCATGTTCAGTATGAGAGCATTTACTTGTCTGTCTGCAAATCATTCATAACATGGGGGTTTCCCAAAATAGGGGGCCCTAATATAGTACCCTGAATAGTAGGATCCTTATTATAAGGACCCCCAAATAAAGAACCCCTTACTTTCGGAAACTCCCACATTTAAGTAGGTTATAAGTCCCCTAATATGGGTTATAACTATAGTCACCCTACTTATAACCCCATTTAAAACTACCCATGAACCTGCAAGTAGGGCATCCGGAGAGAGACCTGGCCTGCCCGAGAAGATGGCTTTGCTGCTGCAAGCGCTCCTGGAATTTACTGATGGACACAGCTCGGCAGCGCTCTACGACACCGGAACAAACCCTAAACATCGGAGCACTAAACATATTATAGATATTATAGATGTATTACTTATAATATAAGATATCTATAACATGTTTTTAACATATTACTTGTTACAGAGAATTACAGAGATTGCTTGAGCTTAGAAGGCTTAGATCGCCGAAAATGGGGTGGTCGACTGGATAGAGCGGCAGCATGCGGCAGCCAAGTCAAGTCTTGCAGTAAGGGCCAGTAGTCCTGGCAGCGCGGATCTTGCCGCAGTGCCTGGATCAGCCGATGCCAGAGCTCCTGGCATCAAGCCGCGTTGCTCGCAGAGTACCGGGTCCAACGTGGATCGCCCGATCAAAGCCTGCAGCCCAACTCACTGTGACGACGTGCCTGGTCAGGAGAGCTCACCTCCAGTGCCTTGCAGGTTGAACTATCGAGACAAAGCGCATCTGCAGCCAGTGTGATTGCAGTCGATGTCAGCACGATCCGAATTGTGGCACGCCTTGGTGTCAGCGCGGTTCTCTTTGTTCACCTCCTGAAGAGTGGCGGCGTCGGCCTGTGGACTATGGAACGGCAAAACCCTGTGCATTGCCGCAGTTGCAACAGCTTGCCTGGCCTTACCCTCCACTGCTGTCATGACGCGGTATGCTGCGACAGATAGAAGCTCGACGCTGCCGGAAGGCAGGCGGGCTCGGAAACTGGGCGGGTGGCTTTGGGCATGCAAGCGCTCCAGAGTCTGCAGAACTCTTATAGACGAAGTCCCGGCTCCGTGCAGGGGTGCGTAGTCTCTGAGTAGAGGACGTCGCACTCCGTTCCAGAACTTGGAAGCCTTGGTAAAATGCAGCAGGGGATTGTTTCAGAATTCGCGAATGAATTGTCAGTCTGAGCCGCGTTTGAGGTACTTCCGTCCGAGAAGTTGCAGCTGCTCGCCTGCAAAATCAACCAACGGACTGGAGGGCAAGACAAGGAGCAAGCCTGTCTGACCCGAAGAGTGCTTGAATAAAGCTCGATCGCGTGAGCACTTTGGGCTGAAATGTGCAAGCGGCAGGGAATCGCCTGCAGTTTCGTCCTTGTTGATGCAGGCCTGGAAAGGCCTGAGAACCACGGGAGTGGTCAGACTGATTCAAAGACAAAGAGATGGCCATGGGATGAGCTGTGCCGGAGCCCGGGCCCGTTAAAGAAGGAGTCGATGCAGTTCAGAATCGCAGCCAAGTACTCCTCTTTCTCCTGCAAAGGGGTTGCCAGCTAGGCAGCCAACTGCTTGTAACAGCCATTGCTGCGATGCTTCTGCAACCTGCATCATGTGGCCATGTCTGACATGCGGCCGACCTGTGTGGTAAGCACTTCATGTGGCTTCTTGTTGTGGAAATCTTGCCGGCATGCATTAGACAGACCCCGCAGGATCCCATTTTCCGTGGCTCAGCCTTTGCCATAGTCGTACTCTTGTCTTCTCTTAGGGTCGCTGAGGACCTCGTATGCCTCTTGGATGGCTTTGAAACGAGCCTCAGCTGACTTCTTCAGTACCTGGCAGGCTCATCGGTCGTCTCCCACAAGGCTAGTGGGCTGTCCACCACCACCACCACCACCACCACCACCACCACCACCACCACCACCACCACCACCAGCAAGAACAACCACAGCCACAGCCACAGGAACGACCATTGTAATCAAACGGGCACGGTACGGCTAATAATGTTGGTAACATGGGTGATTTTGTGGAGCAATGGACTTGGTTCATGCATTAGAATACTGCTAGCAATGATGGGACTGGTACTAGCAATGACTGCTCCTGTTTGGGACCAGGCAAACAAGCCACAATTTCTAAGCTTTGCCAGGAAGTGCAAGACAACCAAGCCAGGCTCGCTTCGGAGGTCGAATGAACCTCAGTTCAGTAACAGCAACATTCCCACTCTCGGACGTGGCTCCTTCGGAGCAGCGTGCCTTGTCGGGATGACATTGCAGCGCGAGCTTGTGGAATCGCTTCTTCCTAGGTTTCGGGATTTCAAACGCCTGCAGAGAACACCTGCCTCTATGCGAAACCCACATGCGTTCAAAATGTGAAGCCTTCCAAGACAATGCCCAAGCTCACATCTGAGGAATCGCAGTCGCAGCGCAGTCCCAATATGGCATAAAAGTTCCTCAAGCTAAATCACGGTTAAGCACATGGCAGTGATTTGCGCTTACAGACAGCTCCCGCAACGGCGGCGTTCTACACGCTTGCTGACAGGTCTCCGCGAGTCCTTTCGATGCACAGCCTCGCGGGCGCGGCGAAGCCATGCAGACAAATCCTGCAGTCGATCTAAAGAATCAGTTGGATTGCATCTTTCCGGGGTGCCTGACAAGCTCTGTTGCGGCTGTTTTATGCGTGGGATCCGGTCCTGCGAAATTTGCTGTGCTCTCGTTGCCAGATCTTGTGCCTTTTCGAAATCCTCCAGACTCTCATGCCACTTCCCCGAGTCGAAACGAAGAATTCCGCGCAACAACCTCGGGTGCGGTGCGCCGTCAGCTCAGCTCGGCCCAAGAACCAGTGGCAGTTTTCGGCTACGATAACTGTGCAGCTGAAGAACAGTGCTGGGGCAGACTTCTCTCTGTCCATGAAGGAGCACGCTTCGGAGACTTCTGTCAAGGCTTCTTCTAGCTCGCCCTCCATCCTCAATGCCTCGGCCGTCCTCACGGGTTGCTCGCATCTTTTCTCCCTAGAAATTCGGGGCTTTAAATTGCGAGTCTGGGTGCTTGAGGTGCAGCTGGGCGCGAAGATCCACGTCCCAGGAGCCGCCCAGGCGTGCGGCCGCGTAGCGCTCGCGCGCCTCCTTCGCCTCTCCTCGCTTCAGGAGCCGGTCCTGGGCTCAGAGTTTCATTTTCTGGTTCTCTCTTCCCCTGTCCTTCGACAGCAAGTCCAGGGCCAGGCCCTGTCCACTTGAAGCTGAGCGTCGCCCTGGGACTTCAATTCCGAGGCAGCGTCGACCCTTGGATACAAAGGGTGAGTTCGAAGGGGCTCTGAGCCCCCCCCCCCCCCTGCAAGAAGTTCCAGATTTGCAAAGATCGTGAAGATGAAATTTCAAAGCAGAAGAAGACTCCTCGTCATCGGACTCCAATCGCAGAGAGATATGTTGTAGCTCTCTCATCCTACTTGTTTGTCGAGCTATGTCGAGCTGCGCTCGCAGCAAGGCGGCGGCACGCAGCGCAGGGCCGGCATCGAAGTCCACAGGCTGCAGCAGGGCTCCCAGGCCCAGCGAGCTGCCGTCGATCCTGGGGAAAGGCCAGGGCCAAGGCTCTTTTTCGGGAAGGGCACGCAAGGCAGGGCTCTGCCAACCGCCTCAAAAGTGCCCTTGAACAGGCGAGTCTCAGGAGAAAGCCGCGCGCTTCCTCGAGCTTCTTCTCTCGACAGTCTGCGCAAAGCCTTCGGAGCTCAAAGGGTGCCAACTCCACCCACTCTTGCCTCAGATCTGATTCGATTCTGTCTGCTGCTGCACTGCATTCATCCTCCCTCCACTTAGTCACTTATAACAGGCCCTGTTGCCCCTTGGCATCCGTCTCGCGCTTTGGCAGGACCATGACTTTGTGGCCCTTGCCCAGCAAGCACCAACTGGGGGCCTTTTCGTCGCAGCGCTTTTTCACCAATACATTCTTGAACACGACCTCGAACCACTCCATCGCAGGGCCTGGGCCGCGACCATGGCAAAGAAAAGCTCCCCAGCCGCGGCTTCAAAAGGGCTTGATTCGGCTTGATGCCGCTACGCAAGCCGAGAACCCATCACCGACGCCAAGAGTGGCCCCGCTTCCACCCTCTATCTCATAGCAAGAACCGAATCGCTCCTGCAAAAACACAACGGAAACTCCGTCCCTCACTGTGAGGAATAAGCCATGTTAGTGTGACTTCGATTGTTTAAAGCAGGTCGTACTAATAATCCCGTAACTAACATGCAGTTACTCCCGGCCTTGACCAGCAATGCTGCCTGCCTCTCTGGCCTGGCACGCCGATGTGGATATGGCTCGTTGCGCCATATGAATTCTGTACCCAGAGCCTCCTGGACCAATGACTCCAGCACTTCCTTTCCCTCCGCTTGACGGCAGAGGAGCCCCGCAGCACCATGCAGCAGCAGGTCCTTGCATCACTTGGCCGACAATGCTCATGTTCAAATCTTGTCAAGCTACTAAATTGTACGATGTCATGCTATCCTATACCTTGCCTGGTTGTACTGTACCGTGCTATGCTACACGAGGTTGTGCCACACTAATTATTCTAGATTCTAAAGTTATGCTATGATGCTATTGTAAGCAGCTCCCTGATCGGCCCTGTCTCCGAGCCTCAGGGCGTGGACTTCCAGCCACGGTCTTGAGCATTTCCTGACCAAGCTTCGCCCACTTCGGAGTTTCAGAGAGGCGAAGGGGACTAAGGGCATCCCTATATCCAAATCCCTCTACGCAGTATATAGTATAGTAATCCCTAAACCCTGAACCCTAAACCCTAGTACTACATAGTAACCCTAAACCCTAAACCGTAAACCAATATAGTACAGTACGGAGTATCCTCCACTATTGCTCCGACGCCTCCGCCAGCTTCTTCGCCTCGAAGGCGCGGACGTATTGACGACCCTGAAGGAGCGCGTGGAGCTGCAAGGGCCGCAGCCTCCTCGGCATTTCGGAGCCCTCGGGGGTCCCTCATCTTGACTCCTAATGTAGTACCCTAAATAGTAGGATCCTTATTATAAGGACTGCTGCTGCGAAGAAGTAAGGCGCCATCCAAGCAGAGGCACCCAAACGAGCAGCTTCCTGCCAAGGCCATCAGCCATCACGCGGGGTTGACAAAGAAAGTGGGCCCAAAACCACCAGCTCCTTGAGGTGGCCCAGAGCTCGCTTGCCGGCCTCCTCCTCAGCCACGGAGCTTGCGGCTTCTACAAGAACACCCTCGCTGAGCCCAGTACATGGCTGAAGTCCGGAGTCAGAAGGTCCGCTACCTCGTGCTGAGCGCAACGACCATCGCCTATCCACCGAAGCACCTCTTCCCCTACCTGGGCAAGTTTTGGCATGATCTTCTGCAGGTTGCGCAGCTGCACCTGGACTTTGGACTGCTCACGTGGCCTCAGCAGGCTAGGGTCCTACAGCGAAGCAATGGGAGTCGTGAAACCTGGGAGTCCTGGGAGCCTTGCTTCACCTCCGCCTCCCCACGCTTCAGGACCGCTTCAGCTTGTTTCAGGTCGCCTTGTAGGACGAAGCACCTCTGCTGCGACCGCTGAAGTGATTCAAGGCTGTTGCTGGTTCAAAAATGGTAGGTGCATCGCCTTGATGCCAGCAAGTATGCTTCGGCGACGTTCGGCTGCAGCTCGATTGCTGCTTCGCAGTCCTGGACTCCAGAATATCGGGACCAGGAGAACTTTTTAGAACTTTTTTCCTTAATGAATGCTCTTGGTGCCTCCAAAGCCAGTCTCAGAGCATCGGGGCCCTGTGCAACGAGCTCCAACAACTGGCCAACCTAAGTGGGAAGAGGCTCATGCCAGGTCCCAAGCAAGCCGGTTTCCTCACATGCGCATCCGTCGCCGAGCTGCATGCGGGGACGCGACCAGGGCGTATCCCAAGCTGTCCAGCAGCTTGACCCAGCCATCGACTGGCTCGCCATCCACACGAATGATCCTTCAAACAGCTTGCCGAAGAAAAGGCACAATGGACATGGCGCAACAGTCCCAAGCTCAAGGGCGTGTATACGTCCCGATGCTCGTAGTTTTGCTTCCAAGTCTCTGGTTGTAGCGCAGTGACCGCGTGATGCGACCCGTCGGGTCGCCGGTTTCTGCGCTGACAGATCTATCCCTTCCTGAGTGGCGCACTTCAGACTAGATGTTGCAGGAATCCGCCCTCAAATTCAATTCCCTTTTCCACGAGTGCAAGATTCTGATGGCCATAAGCTTGTAGATGCAGCGCCTTTGTTGCAGAGAAAGGGTTTCTGTCTGGAAGCCACAGCCATGCAACATCTGTTGATAAGCAGTACGCACCCTTCCAGCTGGCACTACAGTCTTTGCTGCCGCAACGAGGCACCAGTGATTGGTCCATGGCTTATGACCAGCATATGGCTCTCCTTGGCGTGGAACAGACGTGTAAACACAGTTCTGTGTTCACGATATGTCGACTTTATGTGCATTATATACTCTATATACTCTACTCTACTGTACCTTGCGCTATTCGTCTTTATCATGCGAGTACTATTGCATTACACCGCAACATCCCATAAGACCTATAGATCTATTTTTTCTGATATGATACTGCGGACGAGAGGCCGAGAGCCAAGCGTACAGCGGCACGCGCACGGAGCAGCGGCGCTTGTCGGGGTGCCGCAATGCGCAGGGCTGCGCTGAGGAGGCGCTCGGCCTGCAGTGTTCAACCCCACCAGGGATTGAATGTAGCTTCGGATTCAGAAGCTTGCACAGACGTAAATAGAACATCGCAGAAGGTGCTGGTATTACTGTGTCAGGAAGACGGGCTCAACAACGAGAATTGGAAATAGCATTTGGATTGAACTTTGACCCGGGCCTCCTCGAAGTGGTTGTTGTGGTAGGCCTCGAGCCCGACCTCCTCGAGCTCATAAGGCCCCATCCGCGAGATTCTTTCATACTCCTGGCTGCCGGAAACCCTTCGGGACCAGACCACACTCGTCACCTTCGGACAGTGACTCAGAAGAAACGCGTCCTCGTCGTTGGCCTCCTGGCAGGCCTTTGCAAGCGCCGCGTCTGGCCCCGGCTGTGGCGACATTCTGCCATGGCTCTGTCTTGCCGGGAAAGGTGTTGTCTCGGGCTGGAACTGCGAGCTCAAACTACTCTTCGTGGCCTTCTGCAGCATTTGGCTAGTCAGCGAGGTGGCTCTGCAAGTGCTGCTAGGGTGGGAAACTTGAAACACATCTGGCACGGTTAGCAGCTCAACATCCAGACTACTTTCAGACTGCAAAGTACCGCGCACGATTCAATAAGTTGGCGCCATACATCCACTGTCTGAAAATGAAAAGCAGAGACAATGGAATCTATCAAATTCTCTGCTGAAGTTCGAGAACAGGCGAAAGGTTGCTGCTGCCAAAAGAACGGAGACAAACCCGTGCGTGCGTGCAGCAGTTGCTATAAGTACACATAACCTGCGGACACGGAAAGAGCATTTCCCCGAGATGCAGCAGTCTTGAAACCAGCTGCTGGAGACTCCGCTGGCCACTGTACTGTCCAGGCATCTCTTCACTAATTAGCTGTCCTCTTCGGAGCCACTTTGCCCAGAAACCAAGTGGATTTGCCAAGACTCGCCATCGCAAAAGGGGCCCGCCAAATTCCGGAGTGAAACGACTTCCGCGTCACGATATGGAGAGGCGAAGCCAGTGTTGGCGGCTCTTCCTCTCGGGCAAGGTAGAGGCCAAGTTAACTAGGCCAACGCCCTGCAGAACTGATGTTCCATGTCCTGCAAATCTGAAATGAGCAAGGCGAACATGGCCATGCGGCCGGTTTCTGCATCGTAGCTCTCTAGTGGAGCCCAGTAGGCCTTTGCTGCACGACACCCGAAAATACAATTCCCCACAGGCCCTCATGTTCTCACATCCTCAAAAAAGCAGCTTGATCGCTCGGTCTTGACAGCTTCTGGATTTGATATTGCTCTCCGCTAGTGTCGACCCCCACTTGCAAACAGTCACTAGCAGAACTTGTTGATGAAAATTGCGCATGAGCGCATGTCTGCAAAAGCACTTCCGGGTCTCTGGCCAAGCCCTCCAGCAACACCGCCATAGTAGTGTTGTGCACCACGCTCTCTGTGCGACACATGGGTGCCATTGGACTTGACACCTCAGCTCTCTTCAACAATGCACGAGCGCAAACTTCATCAAACTCTTGGTTGCCTGACCTCACGCCTCGACAGCGTGCTTTCTGCAGCCATGCGTGCTACAAAGCCCTCGGCGTGGAGCAAAGCAGCGCGCCATTGACCTATCCCAGAACAGTGTGAAATACTGCACGGCTGCGATTGCAAATCACAGTGACCGTTGCTTGCAAGACTGCGATTTGTGTTCCCCCTTTTGCTTTTTGCAGCTGTTGACGGGTTGCTGTGGAGAGAAAGCAGGAAGGAATGGTGCAGGCTTGTGAAGGAGAAGAATCTCAGTGCTGCTGGAACACGCATCATCTGCGCCAGCGCATAGTTCGGGCCCTGGCTGAGGCACGAATCATACGCTGATGCAGAGGAAAACCGCCCACTTGTCGTTGCCATGCAAAAACCGGGTGAATGCCGGCAGGCCTCGTCAAACCTACGAAGCTGCCTTTAACTTTCCTTTTCAAACTTTCATGTTGCTTACGTCTTGAAGGGGTCCGTTAACTTGGCATCATTCCTGCCGAAAGAGTCCCGGCGGCAGGGTGCCTGCAGCACTTCGAAGGCGCTAAGGAATGCACGTGAGCCGCCCAGGTCGCTGATGTTTTGTCCTAAGATGCGCTGCGCCGAGACCGGCTGTCTTCGTAGCGTCGAGGTTTCATGCCGAGCTTCTCTTGCCGAACATCTTCGCCCATTGGCTAGATGTCTGGAAGATCTGCTCTTGCGCTTGAACCGCCTCGTCAAGATCAAGACTGAAGAATATTAAGCCTGCAGAATGCAACCTGCAAGCTCTTGCATGTGCTATGTGTATGACCCGACTCACATCTGAACCCAATGCCAAGTTGGGCGGGTGGTCGGCCCAAGTCTGAGGGATGCTTTTCATGGGAGAGCTCGTATTTGCGGGTCGGGGAAGCCTCTTGCTGCGCTGATCCACCTCTATCGACTCGCACCCACAATCGTGCCAACTCTCCTGCAAAGGCATGCAGGGGACCTCCATAGGAATCGCGGTCGATGTCCCGCAGCTCGCCTCAGATCTCTAAAGCACCCTGGTGAAGACTTCGACCTGGAGGCTCAAGTGGCTCAGCTGAACCACTCAACTGCTCTTGCATTCGCAACAGAAAAGCCGCGGGGCAAGGTAGGCGAAACTGACTTTGTCAGTTCCAAGTGGTTTCAAAGCGTCCACTGCGTAGTCGGCTGCAACGGTGAGTCGCACCTTTGCGCGCGGTTCGAGCACGGACCTCCAATGCCAGGCACATCCTGGACAAAGGACCTCTTCTGTGCCATCGAGAGACATTCGCTTCACCATCTGCATAGAGGTATGTTCCAAGTGTCACCTGCGAGGCAGATGCAGGCGCTGGATCCGTTCCGGCTCAGTAGTGCTACCGACGGCTCCATCGGCCCTGGCTTTTTTTATGGCTCACAAGTTCAAGGACTACACGCCCGCCTTGCCAGGCGCCTCCTTGGCCACACGTCGCATCCTGCGATTTCCATCGCAAAACGGCCTGTAGATGGGAATGGTTACACAGCTGAGCTCCCAGCCAATCGATCACTGCTGGCGCTTCGGCAAGCAGGTCTGCTCCAGCGACAGCTGCGAGGTCCTTCACTCATATCTACACCCCAATGCCCAACCAACTTTGCTAAAGAAATGTATCCGGAAAGAAGACACATAGGGCCTATGCTTCTCATTTCGATTCCAAGCCTCTCGAAATCCTTCAAACAACACATGCAGCGGTCAGTTTCTTATCTCGTTGATGGGTCTGTTTGCGACAGTGCCCTGGAAAGGACCTGATGCTACGCTTTCCGATATTTCGCCTAAATTGCTGAAGTCTCACTGCAGCTGTCAGCTTTGTACTAGTAGTCGTTTGCATACATTTCGGCATTGCCTGCTGTTATCCAGGCCTCATCGTTGGCTGGCTCGTTGCCCAAGACTGGCACCAGCAACTTCCCGGCAGACTTTCTGGCGAAGGCGATCAAGTCCGCCCATCGCTTGGGCCGGCGAGTCGCCACGGCAGCTACAGTTGCACCAGCCTCACGCAAACGGCTTCCGATCGCCGTGATTTACAGAATAGACATACCGGAACGGGCCTGTAACAGCGGTCGCACGGGCCCGAGTTCGGATCCTGCGCCGAGCCTCAATCGCGCTGTCACGTCTGACTGCACGAAAGCTGCGTGCTGGACTCAGTTGTTCCACAAGCAAGGAACAAGAACCCAACATCATGACCAAAATGCGACACACCTCTGTTCTGGTGAATTCTCGCTTCCTCGGATCTTTCCAGCCAGGTCTCACTACAAAAGTCCTGCCGGCGAGGCTGCCCAGCTGTCTCGCGCCGACCTTTATGGCTGCGGCACAGTCCGGCTCCATTGTCCCATACTCGGCCCACTTGTCCTTGGAAGCCAAGCATTAGTCCTGGACTCTAGTGACTCTAGTGCATGTCGTGCTTGTTGCCGACCCCTCTTGTGCATGATTGCAACTGCCTACTACCATTATTCTTGTTGCTGTTGTTACTACTATACTACTACTACTACTACTACCACCACCACCACCACCACCACTACTACTACTAGTA